GAAAACTAGAATGATTAAGCCTTGCTCATTATTAATGGGAGAATTATTAAAAAGATGGCTTCTGAAAAGGAAAATCCTATCTAAATCCTATCTTGCCAACATTTGGAGTTCTTTGAGAGTATCAGAACCATGTAGATAGGCCTAATCCAATAAACTTGATGTGTTGATTACCACAAGTGCTGGTGGACATAGATCCTCCTACTACCAGCCACCTATAAGCCTAAAACAAAACAGTGGTGTGGGTTGGGATACCTGTATGGATAAAAGTTCATGCAACACAGGTAGCTGCACTATGAAGGAAAAGGAACAGAATTGGCTCTCCGGCCTTTTCTACCAGCATATGATGCTCCGCTGATGACTGAGGCACAGAGGGTCAGTTTTCCTCACTTTCCCTTTCTCTGCAGCTTCCTGTGTTGTGTGTCTTTTCATTCATGTAAGTATCCCAGTCCTCAATATCACCTTTTTGAGGTCCACTGGGGGAAGGAGCAGGAGAGAAAGAGTAGCCTCAACCAGTACCTTCTGATGTTGCATAGAACCAGAAGCATAATGATGTGGCTTTGTGCAACAAATGGAAAGAAGCCGGTCTTTCACCTTCATGTTTCAAGTAACTCATCTATGTTGAAAACACAGGCACTACTACTACTACAATGTAGCATTCTGTTTACTTAGTAAAGCACAATGGAACACCAGTAGCTGAAGCATCACTGCTCAGAGCTCCCTCACAGCCATGGTTTCAGGGGCTCTTAGTAATCCAGAAGTAATTTTTACGTGCTACAAGTGATCGGGCAGTTTTCTTATTGCAAGGCTGTAAACATAAATGTTGGGAAGCAGGGCTTCAGAACTTCTGCCAGGGAATGGGCATTGTCATTTCTGGGATGATGAACTGTGATTCCAGTATCTATTTATATCTTGTCACTAAATCTTTCCTTTATTCTCAGTGATGATAAGAAAAAGAGTAGTGACATAGGTGCATTTTGAAATAGAATTCTATTCTTTCATCCTTTCCAAATTATATGTTCAGAGCTGCGGTTTGAAAGAACACAAATGAGTAGGGCCCTTTACATAAAGTTGTCCTGCAAAGCAAGCAGGTTTTTTTTTAAAGAGAACAGTGTGTTCTAGTGTATTTCTTAATTCTCAAAATAAAGTCACTGGACACAGCTTACAATGCTGTCCTCTCCTTCAGCAATAAGGAATTAATTGGGGGACAGTGCAGCAGTTGGCAAACTTGCATCTACAGCCATAGAACAATGGTGCAAGGAATTAATCCTTGAGAATGTTATAGTTACTCGAAGAACCTTTTGGTTTAGTAAGGATGTAAACGTTTTAATTAAAAAAAATAAAACCCCCAGTTTTACTCTGAGATTCTTACAATGAACAGCTTGGGCCATTTCTGAATTGTGCGATTTTTCTTCCACATTCTTTAGTATACATGTAGAAATGGAGAAGTCAAAACAACTGTTTCGCGCTTAACTGCTCAATAGGAAAGACTAGAACCACAATCCAGAGAAGGCCATGTACATGCAGTAGATGTCACAAGGAGGCTTCTGCTTTTACCTTCCAGCAGTAGCGAACTGCACATATGGGGCACTGCTCCAGAAGGTTCCCTAGTCCGTTTGGGGGCATATAGGAGACTCTTGCTGCAGAGCAGATTTGAAAAGCCCTTGTGCATATAGAACACTGTCTGTGGTGGTTTGGATCCCAATATGGGGCAGATAGTTTGTGCATTGACATCTATACTACGTTTTCCTACCTCTGTCAGCAACTGACAGTGGTGATAAGAAGAGATGGTGAAACAGGCATTATAATGATAAAAGGATATTGGTAATGTATGTTTTGGGCAAGTTGCAGGGAAACTGCACACTGGTGTCATTTTTTGAAGCCAGCTCATGTTGTCAGTAACATGAAGTTCTGCCCTATAAGTTAGTACAGAGAAGATAACTTGAAGATCTGAATAGGAACAGGAATGTAGTTAGTTCAAATACACACCTCTGATGAAGTGTCTTGGTTTTCCTACTTCCTGGAATACTTGGAGAATTTATAGGACAAGCTGGTATGGATCTCTGGTATGGATTCTAGACCTTGTGAAAACTGATTAAACCTAGTTGAGATAATCCATTGTTTATTTTTCTCTGGCCCCGTTCACACGGAGCAGAAGCCACGCTAAATAGACGGAAGAGAGGCGGAGTTACCTGGCGTGATCACACGGCAACATCTGGGGAGCGTAGAGCTCCCGTGGTTGAACTGTGGCAAACCGCCGATAAAACGGAGCAAAAAACTAGTACCTCGGAGGTACTAGTTTCCGGAAACTGCGGGGCAAGGGCGGGCGTCTGATTGCGTTTCCGGTGGCATCCGGCGCCCGTCCATGTCCCCTTGCGAAGAAGGGTTTTCCCCCCCCCCAAGTCTCCGTGGTTGCGCACACGCACCCAACGGAGCATGCGCATTCGTAGTGTACACAGGAAAAGGAAACCAGGTTGCCGCGCCGCGCACTTCTTCGTTGCGCGCAGGCGTGTGTTGTGATCAACGCCTCTCCGTAACCACGGAAGCTCCACGGTTCCTCCACAGAACCTCCACAGGAGGTATGATCGCTTTACTGCGTGTTAGTTTGCCCTGGGGCAAACAGCCACGCTTCCCCCCCGCAGTTTCCTGTCCGTGTGACTGGGGCCTCTGTCTGCTTGTTTAGCGTACTTTATGGAAGAACTTTGGTCTGAGGAAATAAATGGTTTAAAATTGATGGTATCAGGTTGAAATCTGTCTTTTTTTTATTCACTGTGATTATTCATTACTATGTGTAAAATGTTTCATTTGCAACTGAACAGTCTTCCACATGTAGGCAGTATTGGAACACTGGTAAAACAATACTGAGCTAGAAAAAGGGGACAGTTCGTTACATTCTTAAAAAATCAGTGTTAAACCATGTACATTTTCAACTGTTGCACGACTTGTTCCAAGGTGCTCCTAGTTCGAAGGTTTTGCTGCGGAATTTTTTTGGGAAGCGGCAAATGGCTGTCACAAAGGTTCTGTGGATAACACCTAGTAAAACTAAATGCGTAAACATTAACAAATTCATTAAAACAGTTTGGCAGGAGGAAATAGAAATGTTAGACAGCACTTATTATGTAAGTGTTGGTTTTAACAAATCAGTGCTCAAGCGCTAATCCCTGATGCCGGGCATACTAGTTCAATTGCTTAATCTTTCCCCTTAAGTGCATATTGAAATATATTTTGTTTGTTCTTTTAGCACAACCCTTTTCTGCAAACATGCGCTTGCCAAGTATTTGTGACTTTGACAATATTGGAACATAGTCAGATGAAACAAATCTGAATGGCTAGGTTTACAAACCTAGTGAAACCTTTAGTTTTAAAATATTGAATGCAGCTGAGAATGGCTTGATGACCAACAGTATGATAGATACTGGATATCTGCTGACCTCTTGAAGCTGCAACACAAAACATTGTGACTGTTTGGACACACTGGAGTTCCAGTATAAAAGTTAGGACAGTGTTTCTCAGACTTTTGTAAATGGTTCCCAGACTTTTCTGGATTGAAACCAGATGTATGTTTCATTTGTACACTCATGATTGATTTATGTTGTCTCTCAATTTACAGAATATGAAGGTATTCTCCTTGCAACTGCAGAACAACCCATTGAATATTCCCTTCTATCTTCTTACACTTTTCTCTGTCCAGTCTAGTTAGAGCTTAGGGATGGAAGTATGCTTTCTGGGAAATGGTGATACTTTAGAATTCTTCTATGTTTGTTGGCTTTGGTGTGGACTGTATCAGGGAATGCTAGTGTATTTCTACTCTTTTGGGATGATATTACTTCCCATACATGGCAAGAAGAGGAGGTGAATAAATACTGTATAGGACTCCCACTCTGGGCATCCAACATGGTGCCTTAGCACATTTCAACTACTGTTAGGCTGAATATACCTTGGGAGAGTTTCACTGAGCTGAAGAGACCCCCCCCCCCAAAAAAATATTGTTCACATTCTTACTTGATAGGGGCAATAATGCTTACATTCCTACAGTTGTAGCACTTTTAAAAATTGTCTTAAATAAATATCTTTTTTATTTTTTTATTTTTTAAAAAGTGTATTTAAAAATTTATGCTATTACAGTTTCATGTCAGTTTCATAGTATTGGATCACTTTCCGAGTGATTTTTAAATGTATTCAATGTATGTAGGCGTTAGAAGCAACTCTTATTTGTTGCAAAGAAATGTGGCCAGTTTTTAAAAGATCTTGTTTTAAGCTGGCAACCCCCCCCCCCAAAAAAAAACACGTGCCTATTATGAAACGTTGGCTTGGAATAGGTTTTTCCAGTGCTGGTATGTGCAATAGACAATAAATGCAAAGTAGACTTCCTGAACTCTAGAACAAGTTTTAAAGCGGAGATGCCTCTAATTTCAGCCTAAGTTTTCTAAAGTACAAGGGAGTTCAGAAACTTAGGGAATAATGAGAGTGAGCTTCCTTCCTTTGTTTTTCTTCCATTTTTGTTCAAAACGATGCCACCTAAGCAGCCATTCCAGACATATCCCATTGTTGCCTCCTCAGCAGCGGAATGTAAGGGTATCAATTACATCAGTGCAGATCATCCTGCAGGTGTGCAGTGCCACAGTGAGAACATGGCAGAGATTAAAAGAATTTCTCCTGACTTGCTCAAGGCCTTAGGCGTTCCCGGTGGGATTATGGACTTTGTTCCTTTTGAACAGCAAATACATACTGAATTCTCAGCTGTTTTGTAAAGTCCCATAAATTTTAAAGAAGTACGCTTTGTGTCATGGTGAAGGGCAAAACTTCTGTTTCAGACACACAGGTTCAAGCAAAGCTGTACACTTGATTCTTTGGATCCAGGGCCCTAGTTTCTATAGGCCTTCATTTCTAGAACTCCATTGTTGGGGTAGTATTAAATTTTAATCTCTACTTTTAAGAGGCTGCAGTGAGAATCAGGAGATTTCTATGAATCAGACACCTTCATAGAGCATTCTCTTTTACAGGCCGTTTATATGCTATGCAGACGGGTATGAAGATCGATAGTAAAACCCCAGAGTGTCGCAAATTTTTATGCAAGCTCATGGATCAACTTGAAGCTGTAAGTAAATATGTTGTTACGTTGCTAATATACAGATACTTGCTTACATTTTTCTTCCACGTTGTCCATTTAGGAAAGATACAGTGTGTGAAATGGCCCTAATACTGGTGCTTTATTTAAACTTGTTTAAACCTGGACAGATCTTGTTTTTGAATGAGAAAGTTGTGGATCTAGTTACAATGAGATGGAGTTTTCTGGCACTTCTATGCAATCTGAAGAGGAATCACTTTAAAAATCAATACATTTCTATTCTAGTTTCTGGGGACAACAGTTCACTTCCTCAGATACATATTTTAGTTAAATCAGTGTTGTTCGTATGGATAAGAAAAGAAGAAATCATTTACCTTCTCCGTTGTTCAAAATTATTTATATTTTTATGAATGCTATCCAGAATAAGCTACACAGAAACAGTTTTCTTAAAACACAAGGTTTAAAGTGTTTGGACCTTTAGTCAAGAGTTCAGATGGTGAAGAATAAAAAGGGAAAATGGATCAGTAGAGAGGAGGGAATATCCAAAGATACAACGTCTTCCTGAAACTGCAGAATTTGTATTTTCTGTGGTTCAAAATCGTCAAGGCTCTCAGTCTTTGGCTATATTGTTGTCTTAGACCACTCCTACATATTTTCCCCAAATAAGTGTGGTTCTGTACTTGGTAGTAGGTAGAATGTCTTAAAGCACTGGTGCTGTTAGTGGTCAGATCCCTCCTCATGCTGAGGGGCAGTTTATAGCTAGAAAACCATGAACACCCTTCCTAATATATATCAGTTCAAATAGTGTAAGTGCAATACACTGCCAGGCTCAAAAGGACACAAAATGGATACCAGCCAGAAACAGGCCTGGACGTGTAGTTTAGAACTGTGAGAGTGGCTGGCTAGCTAACAACCTCCTCTCCACCCTAGAGAGAGGCATAATTTAGGACAATGGGTCTCCCAAGAAGCTATTGATTCAACTTGGACTAATCTCATCAACTTCCAGCTTCACTTCCCTGCATCCATTTACCTAATTAAGCAATGCTTAGTTGTATTCACCAAACCTGGTAGCTTTTCCCATCTGATACTTACAGAATCATCGAGCACTGTTTACACCCATAGTCCAACTCAGGAAAGCCCATCAAACTCATCCCAAATCTCCTCTGGAAAACCCATCAAGTTATTGCTTTGGGGGACAATATGTCCGCTTGCCCCAAGGAGCTTTTGCACTATGAATTACGGCATCTTGCTCCATAGCAGTGTGTGTATGTGTTCCTGGTACCAACAGCATGCACCCCAACTTTGTGGGTTTCTTCTCCATATGAAATGCTGGCCGTTTTGCTGGTGCCACCCTGGACCCCTACAAGATCTGGTAATTATAGTCCCTTTTGCCTCAACTATTCCCGCTCCTCCCTGTTTATCTCTTAGCTAGTTTGCATGTTTTAAATGTGTTTGTGTGTGTGTGTGTTTTGGCCCTTTTGTTTCTCTTTTAATAAAAGGCCTTTATAATTGAACATTTTCCTGTTTTATCTGAAAGTTCTCTTAAAGGGGAAAAATCCTGGTATACATTGATGAAGATCCCAGTTACTCACCTCTCACTGTCTCCTTAAGCTAATTCCCCCAATTAAATAGGAAACTGCTTCTTTGGGTAACAGTGCCTCTTACTGACTGCTGAACATCTTAAGAGGAAAGAAGGGACATAGCTCAGTTTTTTCTTCCGGCAGCACTGAAGAAGTTATTGCTGACTCAGTCTGTAGCTTAGTACATGGTCAAGTTCATTCATTTTGTGGGGCAGTGATTCAAGTCCTGTGGTAGAGGAGCTATGGAGAATCCCACTCCCATGCACCTAAAATAACATGTGGCACAGGTGGTTTATGAAGTGGCTGGTCTGCACAATGGTGTGATTCATATGGAACTTCCCACTCAGAAAAGCAGAGCATTACCTAAAAATGCAGTACAGTACCTAAATTAGGACTCTGTGTGGAATGCCTGCACTATGTGAGATGAGTGCCTGCCAGCTTTCCACCATGGCATTTGGATCACCATCATGATAAGCATCTCTTTGGACTGAACCTGTCACTGAATACTGCTTTTAATTAGCTATTCCCACATTCAGTTTCTTGACTGTATTGGTTGTTTTTTTTTTGCCTGTATATCTAAAAATGTAACATGTGCTAATGATTGCTTTGTGTTTTTCAACTGTGCATTATTGAGCACGAGGTGGGCTTGGCCACAGCTCTTCCCCCTTTTATATGAATTAAGAGGGCACACGCCAATTGACATGAAAATACCTCAAAAATTAAAGAAACTGCCTCAGTCTCACAAAACACTGCATATGAAACTGATGAAGAATTCAGCTTTCCTTGAGGCAGAATTCGGATTACTTGGATGTAAAACTATTTTTAGCATGGATTGTGTGGTATAAAACACCTGGGAGTATGGATATTCATGTCCATGGCTAAGAGAGCTCTGTGCTAAAGAAATTAAAATGCTACACCCATGCTGTCCTAATTCTGCACTGTGAAAAGCTGGTTTCTTTGCACAATTCTCGTTTTGCAAGTAACAAGCAAGGAAAGAACACTGAAGCCCTGCCACAAGTTTCTAAAAACATCTCATTCTATGTCTCTGGATTATGAGATTTCTGTAGGCAGTGCCTACACGCTTTCAAGCATCATCAGCAGAAGATGCTCAGAAAGCTGAATTCTACACTAGGGATGGGCACAAACCTAAATGCGTCAGGAAAATCACCCAACTCATGGTTTGTGAGCCAAGGGTTGTGCAGTCATGACTGCAACAAACCTCCCATGAACTTCCATGGTTTTCACATAGGTTCGTGTGATTCGTGTCAGTGGTTCATGCGGCAGACACACTGGCTCAGCTCAATTATGATTGTCAAAGCAACGGGCGGATGGACTTCTGCAGCCCTGGAAACACCAATAGTAGCCCTCCAAAGTGTCAGGCAGCACTGTCCACCAATAAGAGAGCCTTCCAGGGAGGTCTGCTGCAAGTTTGGTGCCTCTGGCTTGCAGGGGTTCCATTCTATACACTCATGGACCTGCAGCTGTGATTTCCCCAGAGAGCACTTTCCTGGTGGCACCTGCTTTGGGGGGCTGCTACTCCACCCCCTCTCCAAAGCCAACCCACTCCACACTTTGAGGGCAGGTAGAGGGGCATCGTGAGGAGATCTGCTGCACTTTGATGCCTCTAGCTTGCATGGAGAGCACTTTCCTGGGGGCACCTGGTTTCCTGGGGGCACTCCTGAACTTGCAGCTGTGATTTCCCCAGAGAGCACTTTCCTGAGGACACTACACCTCATCTTGGTTTTCCAGCTTTCCACCCCCCCTCCTGTGCTAGACCTCCCCCCATTTTTGTGCTTTGGACCCCAGGATCCTTGACTTTTGCACCTCTGGGCACTCACCTACCAGGCTTTGTATCACCAGTTGCCCACCCTGGGCCTGCCACATATATTGGTTTTCCAACTTTCTGCCCTCCTCCAGCACTAGAGCTCCCCCACTTGCACTTTGGACCGTAGGATCCTTGGCTTCTGCATCTCTGGGCACTCACCCACCGGGCTTAGCATCAACAGCCACCCTTGCTGAGCCCGCCCTTTGTCTTGGTTTTCCACCTTTCCACCCCCCTCCTGTGCTAGAGCTTCCCCTTTGCACTTTGGCCCCTAATATCGTCAGCTTCCGCACCTCTGGGCATTTGCCCACCGAGCTTGGCATCATCTGTTGCCCACCCTGGGCCTACCCCATATCTTGGTTTTCCAACTTTAAGCCGCCCCCCCCCGGCGCTAGAGCTCCCCCCCCCTTTTGCACTTTGGACCCTAATATCGGCTTCCGCACCTCTGGGCACTTGCCCACCAGGCTTGTCATCATCTGTTGCTCACCCTGGGCCTACCCCATGTCTTGGTTTTCCAACTTTATGCTCCCCCCCCCCGATGCTAGAGCTTCCCCCTTTTGCACTTTGGACCCTAGGATCTTCGCCTGCTGTGCCTCTGCCTGCTAGGCTTAACGTCATCATTTGCCCATGTTGCACCTTCTCCTTGTCTTGGTTTCCCAACTTTCTGCCCCCCTTTGTGCCAGGCCTCCCATTAAAGTTTCCCATGCTGCCATCTATTCCGCCACCCAATCTGCCTGCTGGTGGGCCTCCACCGCAGCTTGGCAGCCCCTCCTCTGTGCCACCCTCCTGACCCACTCCGTGCTGCACTGTTCCTCCCAAGGCATGCACTTCCAACTCCAGTGCCCACAGCCCATTTACAAGCTGGTCAAGCAGCTGCTTTCATTCTGTTAGTTCAAGTGCCAATTTCCGCGACTGTGCCCAGTTCTCTGGCGAGTCCTCAGCCCTTTGTACTTGGGGGCTTGGACTTGCCCCCCCCCCACAGCCAATCCTCACCAAACTTGGAGGGGCAGATAGAGGGGCATCCTGAGGAGGTCCACTGTAAATTTGATGCCTCTAGCTTGCAGGGGGACTGTTCAACACACTCCTGAACCTGGGGTTGTGATTTCCTTCGAGCATTTTCTTGGGGGCACCTGCTTTGGAGGGCTGTAACCTCTCCCCCAATCCAGTCCTCACCAAACTTGGAGGACAGGTGGAGGAGAGTCAGCTGGAGATTCGCTGTGAGTTTGGTACCTCTAGCCCACAGGGGGAATGCTCCACCACATCACGAACCTCACGAAACAAACCAGTTTGGTAAATGGGAAGGTTCATGAAGGTTTGTGGTTTGTGTGGCCCCACAAACTGAAACGAGCCTTGATTTTCCTGGTTCATACCCATCCCTATTCTACACTATTTCCATATTCTGTGCTGTGGAACTGCAGCATATGCAGAGCCCTCCCATAGTTTTGTGACTAGGACTGTGCAGTGAATTCACACAGAAAGATCAGAAAGACTGCAAGACTGAGACAGTTTCCTTTCAGTTTTGAAGTATTTTTGTGGGGTTATGCCTTTTTCCTGTCACTCTGATCTTTTTTTCCACAGTTTAAGGACCCATTCTGTATGTATCATTTGCCAACTGGAGGCTTAACTTGTTTGATGTTGAGGATCTCTGCACCATAAATTAAGCGACTTGTATGTTACACATATGTATGAAAAAGACAATAGTTGGATGTTAATGGCAATTGCTGTTCAGTTTTACTTGGCAGACTGGAACAAATTATCTTGCCTAATATAACACGCTCTGCTGAAAATATTATTTGTTTTAATATTTTGCTTTTGTTAAGTTTAATTAAATTATGGCTCCATTTTAATAATCCCCCGAATCACAATTTAGATTTGGTAGATCATTACATTTATCATTGTAGGGTTCTGTGCTTCCTCCAGATTGGTGTAGTGGTTAGGAGTGCAGACTCCAATCTGGAAGAAATGAGTTTGATTCCCCACACCTCCACATGCAGGCTGGTGGTGTGACCTTGGGTCAGTCATAAGTTCTCTCAGAGCTGTTCTCTCAAGGACAGTTCTCAGGAGAGCTCTCTAAGCCCCACCTACCTCACTCTGTAAGCCACTCTGAGATTCCTTCAGATAGTGAATGGCGGGGAATAAATCCAGTCTCTTCTACTTCTCCTCTATTTCAGGGTTTGCTGTCTAACCATAGTTTCCTGTGACATCTGAATTGGGCAAATTATTTTTACTACTAGTCTTCAAAACCATTCTTTGCAACGTTCCTTCAGAGCCTGAGAAACTATGATTAGAAGGAAACTAGAAACGGAGGAGTAGAGAATCAAGGTGTGGGGTGGAGGTGGGAAGGAAAGAAACAAACACATTATCCCAAGGCACATTTCCAACTATATAAATGGTGACTGGGAAGATCAGAATGTGATTTCTACATTGTATTTCTGTGTGCCATTAAATATTAATATCTACTAGCTTCTTCATTGTAACAGATGTTTGAACCCTACATTTTGGTAATACTCTGCTCCTTAGAAAATTAGACTGCCATTAGCATGTTTCGTTTACAATCATTTGGCAACATAGGAAATACAAAAACTGGGTTTTGTTTTGTAAGAATAAAATAAGGTTTACCTAGTTGCCAACAGTAAGTGTATTCAGGTGCCCTTAAATCCACCTGTTGTAACTGTGACAGTGTTATTTACTTTTGCTGATTTTATTAGGAAACCTGAGGCTTCTTGTGCTCTGTAACATCTTTGAAAAGAGGTCTTTGAATTGAAGTGTACTGCTTGACTAAGCATTCCAGTAAATCTTCAGGCCACTGGAGCAGTTAGTTTGAACCATGGACTCTCAGTTCATTAGCTCTTTATTTATATTAAATACTGTGAACTGCTCTGCAGGAGGAAACTATATAGTCCTATTGACCTTCACTGGCTATAAAACAAGATATGAATAGGATAGTGTTGAGTCTTTATACAGAGGAGTTTAATGCAGAGGGGAGGGGGGAGCCTTACAGCCCTGTTAGCAGTCTGGTAATAAAGCCACAGTTCTGGCTCTGTAGCTCTGTAGCTCAGAATCTTCTGAATGTTTGGAAATCCTGCATTATTTTGGTTCATATTTTAAACTGAAGATTCTAGTTGAGATGTTAGCTCAGTTTTATTTATGAAGGAATAAAATTGAAAATGTTTAGGTAGTTGAAAACGTTTAGGTAGTTGGAAACTGCAAGAGTAGTCATAAGTAGAAGTCATGGG